GTTTTTAGAGAGAGAGGGAAAGGTACAGAATGGAAGAGGGAGAGGAGAAACTGGATTATAGATGGAAGAAAAGACACGGAGCGGAAAACCGAGTTTCAAAACTTTCAAGGGGCTGGAAACTGGTGAGAAACTGCAAATTTTTTTGGGTCTTTTTCACTCCAATTATGTTTTTGTTTTTGTTTTTTTTAGAAGAATTATGTTTTAGTTTTTTTTTTCTCATCATTTTTTTTGTTTTAATTATTCTTTTAATCTTCTTATTATTTTTTTTGAATAAATGTACTCTTTTTATTTTAAAGATAAAGGATTTTTTTTCGAGTAAAAGGATAAGGGATTTTTCTTTTTCTTTAGTAATAAAAAAGGATAAGGGAATTTTAATTTATGGGAAATCTGCATTAGTATGTCAACAAAAATATAAAAAAAAAATACTAAAAGTGCATTTTTTTAATACTAATTTTCCAATAAATTTACGTTTTTCTTCTCTGATGTCTATAAACTTACCTTATTGAAAGATTTACAATATGATTTTGATGTTATTTTGACATTCACAACGCATATTAAACATCTGAACATTAGAGATTTAGGGCATTTCTCATATTTTAGTTTATGTAGTTTTACTTTTTCTTATGCCCCTTTGAAAATTAAAAATATGTATATTGTTTTTGTGACTAATCAAAGTATTATTTATTGATACTAATAATAAAATATTGTTGATTAAAGTGCATTGTTTATTAAAAGATATATATTTTTATTAAGGTTATTTTTCTCTCCCAAAAAAAGTCGTCGACTTCTTCTTCTTCCTTTTTTTTTTTTTTTTTTTTTTTTTTTTTTTTTTTCACAAAGGTCAAAGAAAACCAATTTGGACCGTTTCTTTGCTATAATGGCAAGTCCTTGACAAGTCACCCCTATCGGTGACAACGCCTTACCACTATTATCATTTTCTTATATCAAGACGTGTATTGTTCTTACTTAGACCTCTTCAATTTTAATCAAATAATATTAAAACAAACATTTAGTATTGCTATTCTCAAAAAAGAAAAAACATTTATTAAAGCCGCGTGACAAAATAAAATCTAAAAAAAGAAGATAATACGCAAACAATTCTAGATAAAATTTGTACATCTTAAAAACTTATCTTAATCACGAAGAAACTCAAGCCTTTTCAAATATAACTTGGCAGAATCGTTCAAAACAAGTTGGGTTTGGTTAAACGAACTCAATTGATGAACTTGCAAAGTTTGTATCATGGAATGTGCTCCACTCTTGAAGGGGAAGTTGCATGTTGAAGCGATTGGGCTCTTGAATGAAAGAAAGAATTAATTTCATAAATGTCTCGTGAACTTTATATTTAACTTCAACATGCTTTCTAAATTCAGAAAAGGATTTATTTTTCCTTTTAAATTATGTACTCTAGTATTTATAAAATTAACAAATAACTTGTACTTTTATAAATCTCCTAAACTATTGATGAGTCTGCTTGTCCATCAATTATTACTTTTATGTCAACTTACCTTCAATATTTTTAAAAATCAAGGGTAAATTACCATAAATATTAGTTTATGGGATATCTATAAAATAATATTAGTACAGGAGATGTTTAGAACAACTTTTCATACTAAAAGAATGAATTAACTTTTTGAAATTTAAAAGGCACGTTGAAACATGGTACAAAATTCAAGAGACGTTTATGAAATTAATCCATTTTTGAAACATGAAGTATAATTCCGTTCTTTAGTTTTGTGTCCTAAATTTTTCTCTCTTAAAGCTGTGTCCCTTTTAATTTGATCCTTGATTTTAAAGAGAAAAATAAGAGATATCACAATGAAATCTTCATCCCGCTCACTAGATGGATATTCTTCGAGTTTTTTGTCGATTTTTTTTTTTTTTGCATGACCAAAAAAGTTTGTTGGTAATGTTGGGTTCAATGGAGAAGTTAAATGATGCAAAATGTATAGATAGTTTGAAAGAGACATAAAACAAAAAACAAAAACAACTGACTGGAGTTTTTGGATTTATTTGATTCTATTTTATTGAGAATGGAGGTTTTGGATTTATTACTGGCATAATTCGTCTGTTTAGTACACGAAAAAGAAAAAAACAAATCGTATGCTTTTGATAAACGCTCAAGACATATACCTATAAAGTGTGTTTTTTGCAAGAAGTTTATTTTTTCTTAAAATCAAAGGTTTTAAACTTTGTTGAGAAGCAAAAAGAAGAAGAAGAAGAGGATTAGAGATTCCAACATTCAGTTATTTCTGTTCTCGTAGTTCTTTCCTTTTATTTTATCAATATTCGACTTTGACAAAAAGAACTAAATGTCCTTCATATTTTGAGTTTTAATTTTTTATTATCCATATTTTTTCTTTCTTTAAGGGCATTTAGGTCTTTTTTCGTTAAAAAATACAATGGATCAAGAGTTAAAAAAGCATAAATTCAAAATTTTAAGGTATAAACGCGTATAGTTTAAAATCTAATGTATGATGATGTTAAAAAAAAATCTCAATATTATTTAGTTCTTTTTTATCATTTCCCGTTCTTGAATGAATTAAAATTTTTCTGAATTAGCTTTTGACTTTTCAAGAATCAAAAGCATATAATAACCTCTTTTTTTTTTTAATCAGAATGATATCATATAGTCACCAAGAAAATTTAAACACAAAGAAAGCATTCATTCTCAGAAAAAATATAAAAAAGTAAAAAACAAAAAACAAAAACAAAAACAAGCTTCAGCAAAAAAAAAAAAAAAAAAAAAAAAAAAAAAAAAAAAAAAAAGTCAGAAAAAAAAAAAAAAAAAAAAAAAAAACGTCCCGAAAAAAAAAAAAAAAAAAAAAAAAAACTTCCAAAAAAAAAAAAAAAAAAAAAAAAAAAAGAAAAAGAAACAAACAAACAAATAAAACAATAAAAAAAAAACATGGAAAGCATTTTGCGTGCCTCGTGAGATCACCCGCATCTAAATCCCGCCTCTGCCACTTCCTCTAAGCTCCATTTGTCAACCATGGACGTTAGTTCAAAATTTAAACCCCGTCCATTTAACTAATTCAAATCACAATAAATTTTTGCTAGGGTGTTTTTTCTTACAAAAATTTAAATTTAATTTTTTTTAGTATAGTGTTTTCTCTCACACGAATTCACTTTTTAACTCAGTTCTCAACTCAAATGAGCGAAACGATAGTGTTCAGAATGACTCGATCTAGATGACATGGTATTTTTTCAAATAAATCGAGAAAATCACAGCCACTAAGAACATGCTGATAAAAAATTGGAAGAAAATAGACTTGTAAATAATGCACACGACACCCTGCCAATTTATAATTAATTAAATTATCACAAGAAAATTGTCGACATCATTGCTTCAAATGAATATTAGGATCTACATCAATTGCTCAATCGACCGAGATGAACCGGAGATACAAACTCATAGAATCCGGCATCATGCAGCCATTTTATCTGTGCTACATGTTTCATCACAACTATAAGAAGACACCTCTTTTCTCATTCAAAGTTCAAACATCGGAGCCTGAGCTTGTAAAAGAGTTCATTCGTTTTAAGCTAAGAACCAATCAGCAAATCTAGCACAACAAAGAACCAAATTCATACAAATTGGTTACCCGAAAACTTTACTTCGATTGCTATTGATGCACAACCTGTAGGACCGTCCCGAATATTGGCTCCAAGCAGTTTCTCCTTCTTCATAGTTCATCTAAGGAATTCTGAGATTTGGAATGGAGTACAATCACACACATTGATATGTAGCCCGGCTCTACAGTCTACGCTCCATGAAGATACTTGACAGCATCTAAGGATTTTCTCTGTTCTTTTTGAACCTAAATGCAAGCGATATTTACTTTAAAAATTGAATTGTAATCAACTTATTGGACGAAGGAAATTATAAAATCTAAATATCAGTACCTGCGCCTCTAATTCGGCGATTCTTTGTGTAGATGCTTGTTCAATGCAGGCACGACGGTTACGTTCTTCTTCTAGCAAACCAGTCATTTGGTACCTGAGCTCAGCCATTTCTTGAGCCAGATCTTCCGCTTCTTCTTTTGCCTTCAACTTTTCTTCTCTCAGTTCTTCCTGATAATCATGTAAAATTCAAGATCCAGAAGTAATAACCAACTGGGATTTTTTTTTCTTTTAAATAAAAAAGGAGAGAAAATGCCACAAAACTCAGAAAAGAAAATAACGTACTGAACTGATTCATCACTTGAACACAAATTTAAGTTTTTTCTGAGTTAAGCGTCATCAAATCATAGATTGGTACATGCCTTAAGTTGCTTCACAAGAAGTTCATATTCTTCAATCTGGTTCAACATATTTTCCACCTTTTCCATATCATCTCCATCTCTTCCTAGGAGCGTTTCAAGCTTCGAAATCAGAGGACTCAAGACTTCTCCACAAGTGCTTCAGGAATACCATCAACATGTTAGTAGAAATTTTAAGAGGGAATTATTTAACACAGACGTTCAGAAGATGAGCCTTGACATTGTGTCTCCTAATCAGCAAATAAGATGTTCTTCCCTAATCAAAGCGTGAACAAGAACTTTATTAACATGACATTATTAGACAGATATTCTTCCCTAATCAAAGAGGTTTATGTAAGACATTAAAGATTCCTCATTGCAGTATCCAAAAATTTCTGTTCTTTTTTTTTAATCCCTTTTTCAAAAGGCTGGATCTCAAATCCCCTTACATTTAAACACCTGCCTGACCCTGCCTTGTTTGAACCCGGGAATTTAAAATGCGATTTTAAGATGCATCCTGAATTTGCAAGAATGCCAAAACAACTAATTTGGCCGCAACGTGTTATATTGAATGGGACCAAGGGTGGGGATGAAATAGCAAATGCGTTGACTCTCATTGAGACGAAAAGATATGAACAACAACTATCATCTATCAGATATATTTGAATTCTTGCTTTCATGAATTCTTGCTTTCATGCTTGTATACTACATAACATGATGTCCTCCTAACTAGAACAATTAAATATGGACTCACTACAGAAGGCATAAATTTCTTGTGAGAAATACTTTACCTAAAAAGAGCATGGGTCATAAATAAAGCACAAATGACAAAAAAACTTCTATTTATCACTAGTGTAACACAATTAGAAAACATAACTTACTCGGAATACGTACAAGAAATTTAAGAAAAAGCAAGTAATGGGTACCTTGGGTCATTTGACATCATGAGCTTTGCCTCTATTTCATTCACTAATTGTTTTATGTCGGGTTGGGATCCATCCCTTGCCAGCAATTTCTCAAGCATTTGCCAAAATGTCCTAACTTTGGTTTCTGATGTGTCAAGCTTTTCCCTCAGTTCTTTATTTTCCAATTCTAGACGTCTGATATTTTTCTGAGCATCCTGAAACTGAGCCTCAAGATCTCGAACCAACTGGTTTATTCTAGCTTTTTCCTGGATAGCTTTTTCTTGGGACTTCTCAGCTTCGAAGCAACTCTGCTCCAATGTCACAATTTCAAGCTTCAAGCTCTCTATTTCACACTGAGAATCTAATGTTATAGATGAAATCGACATCCGCAGTCTCTCTATGCACAGAGAAGAATTTTGTAATTCCACTTCTCTGCTTTCTAGTTCCTGCATCAAGAACAAGCAGTCAGAGTCGGACCTCTTAAGCTCCTCCCTTAACCTTCCAACTGCCTCCTGTAAATATTCCATGTCTGCTAATTTCAATTCAAGGTCGCGTAAGTGATCTTTCAGGACATTAACCTCTGTGTTCCTTGCATTTCCTTGATCCTGTAGGTAATCTGTTAAGAATTTTAATGGTTAAGTTCAATGTGTAAGGATCATTTGTTTCTTAGCTAAGTTTAAGACTAGACGCTATTGCTAACACATGCTATACCTAAATACAGAAAACATCAGTTTCGGTGTAGGACTGAACATTGGTGACCAAAAGGAGCATTAACCTCTTAAAGATTCTTTCTAGATCAAGCCTAAAGATGATGATGATAGACACCATACAAACTTCACACAACAATTCTGAAAATTATCCAACTTAAATTCATATTACAGATGCTGTGATCTATAATTCCATGATATCAATTTTGATACCATCAATACTAACGAAAACTATAAGTAAGCGAATGATATGTCAAAAAAAAAAAAAAAGAACTACCAATTTCTTGAGAGCAGTTCATGAGTTCTTTTTCTAACATTTCAATGCATTTCTTGTCTTCTGTACTGGCTGCTGACAGTGATGTCACGTGTCTTTCTAATCGCTGCATCATAGAAGTTAAAAGTCAGAAATTTAAACAGCATATAAAGAATGACAAATGCCATAGTTAATGATTCTATAGCATGCTACTGAACTGATAAGATGAATCCAACACACACACACACACACACACACACATTACCCTGATTAAATCAAAGCTTTGTGATTGTGATTCTTTCAACATGTCCTTTTCTCGTCTTAGCTGCAGATAAATGAAAGGATGAAAAATTAGTTTACAGTCGACATAACAATTAGAAAGTATAAACAGAATCTCAATTTCAATTTAACATTAAAAGGTCAGAAGCATAAACAAATAATTAAGCCAGAAAGTATAATAAGGGAAAAAGAAATCACGTAGCTTAATTTCCAAATAAGTGTGAGAGCATATAACAGGAAGCAACCCTCTTTCAAGCAGCAACTCTAAACTCACAAGACACCAACCATTATAGAACTGAAAGGAAACTTGTAGATCACACTCTTACACTTTTCTCCATTTAATGGAAAATAATTCCAAACATACTTTTTATCCTTTAAATTAGCTAAAAAAAAGTTAAAAGCTCATAAAATTCACCTCTCTACATCTTGTCCCAATCTGTAGGAGTTCCTCAACATCAGAAGTGTTGTCACTTTGGCTCCTGCTGTGGCTAGACATTTGTGTAAGAAAACCCTACACAGATGACAAAGAATTCCAGTATAGCCATACCAAATTAACGAAATTCACAAACTATACACACACACACACACACACACACACATATATGTATATATATATGTGTGTGTATATGTATATGTATAAGTATATGAATGTAACATTTATAATGAAACTCGAAAACATTTCTTACATGCTTCATTTCCGAAATTCGAAAGTGAAGTTTGAGAATTATGAATCACAATTTACAATAATTAAAAGAAGTATACCAACTTCAATGGAGCTCCAGTCTTAATTAATTCAATGGTCAAAAAATATATATAATATATAAATATAAATATAATTAAAGAAAAGAGAAAGAAAACATGGGTTTGGTTCCATTTGGTGCCGCAACGAAACCCTTAACGGGAACTTTGAAAATTCGACTCGCCGAAATGGCACTTTACCGAACAGATCACAAACATATACGTGAATACATACATACTTACTTACACACACACACACACACACACACACACACACACATATATATGAATTCAAGATATGTACAGAAAACAAGGTTTTTTTTTTTTTTTTTTAAATAGAAAATTTCACATTGTTAATGCTAATTCTGAAAGAGAGTTGAAGAAATTACCTATGAGCAACAGGTCTGAGGAATTGGAGGCAAAATCAGAGAAAGTTGTTCAGGTTTTGAATTCTGAGAGCAAAGGGCTTGTGGTGGATTGATTTGGCTCGATTTTGAAAAAATTTTAATCAGGAAATTGTCGATGAAATTGATGTGTTCTTTTGATGAAAGAATAAGAAATTGAAAAATTTTTTGGTTGGAAATGTTTACTTTAAATCGAGAACGACATGTTCCGGGTTTGAAAACATGATTTGAAATTGCCGGGGCTGCCCCGGGATGCCCCGGGGATGTCGTTAATATTTGCACCAATGCAGCCTGTACTTTTTGCCATTTGTACGTTAGGCCTTAAATTTATAATTTTTGCATTAAGATCCTAAATTTGATAATTTTTGGCACTGTAGTTCTATCGACAATGGACAGCAACCGGTAGACTCTGTGCCCGCTTGATTTATGGATTCAAATAAGATAGTTTGAATTAAAATTAAAATTTGGGTAATCTTAACGAATATTATTTGAAATTGTATGGGTTAAGATTTTTACTATTTATTTTTGATTCAAAATCTTTTTAATTAAATAATTACACTAATAAAATAGTATTTATCAAGAATAAGAGATAAAAATTTAGACTCATATACTTTTAATGATAAATTTTTTATTTTTTCTTTAAATTTTTATGAGAAAAACACTTATAGTAGAACTATTTGAACAAGATTTGAATTCCTTTACCAAACATATTGCTCCTAGTGAATAATTCTGATTTGCAAAGATCGTGGGGGCAATTTTATTGGCTATTGGACGACAATTGCAACAAATTTTCACTTTTTTTCAAAAAAAAAAAAAACGTGTTTTATTTATAGTTTACTCAAGTACTTTTGGCACGAGTCATGTCCTATATTTTTAATTTTGGTAAATGTATTCTTGATCTGTAAAGTTATTAGTAATGATAAAAAATAATATCACGTGCTTGGTATGAAGGAAAATTGTTGTCGTTTGCTGATAAACTTGGAAAGATGCATCTATTACAATTAGTGCTGGAACTTTAGACGGGCTGCTCGTGACCGTTCAAAAATACTAATTTTTTGCTCGAAGCCCGACCCGACCCGCCCAAAAAATCCAAGCCACCTGCCCGAGCCCGAAAATGCCCTTGAACAGGCCGCGGGCTAATATTTGGCTGCCCGAGCTCGGCCGGGCAACCTAAGCCCGCCCGAATAGCTTAAATTTTTTTTATATTTTTTAATTTTTATAATTATTAAGTTATTTTGTGTTAAAATTATATAAAAATCAAAATCAACATTCAACAGACATTATTAACACAATTTAATAAATTAATCATGTATATTAATTTTTAAATTCGTAATTCATGATTACTTCGTTAAAAACCTTACCAAGAAAAACCCAATTGAGATAAAAACTTGGCAAGGAGAAAAGTGTGCAATCATTTTGTGACGAATTACAAATTTTACAAACTTACAACGTTATACAATTACAATGTCAAAAGTAAATACATATTTACAAATTACAAATTTACAATTTAATTTGAAGCTGAAGGATCGTCTTTAAAATTAAATGTTAATCTATTAAATTCATCGATCCATTCTTAGCTTGCCGGCGAAATTGTATCCTGTAGACGTTGATCAGCCCGATCACAATCCTTAATGCAGACCAATGCTTTAACAATGTCCCTTTGCAATGCATTTCGGTGTTCCTCAAGTATTCTTACTGTCATACTGAAGACTTGTTTGGATGAAATAGTGGAGACTGGGATAAAAAAATATATTCATTGCCAACCGAGTTAGGATTGGCCAAGTTAATGCCCGTGCCCTCCACCATTGAACTAAGTCAAACGATTCTCTAGTATCGTTGACTACTAAGCCTTCATTGAGGTATGCCATAAGCTCGTTGAAGCTGCCGCCGCCGCTGCCACTGCCACTTGTTGACGAAGATCCACTCTCAGCTTCTGTTTGAGTTGTCTTCTTCTTCTTCTTCAACCCGAAAATATTCAAGAATGAATGCAGGTTTTCGTCTTGTTATTGCGGTTCCTGTACTCTAGAGTTTGTGCTTCTAAACCTAATCTCATATTTACTATAGATCGAATATATTTTTTCCTTTATTATTGGAAATTGGTCTGAACAATTGATGCCTTAAAATTCACCTAAGTTTTCTAAACCTTCTAATTTTAATCTAGGATAAAAAATAGTACCTAAACCATTAAGGGCCTTCTAATTTTCAAAGAACTCAATTGCTTTTGTATTGGTACTAGCATTATCTAATGTTATAACTATTACTTTATCTCTTAATCTAAATTCATCAATTACATTTAAAATGGTATTATATATTAAATTCACGCTATGTGATCCTAGAACACATTTAAAACCTAATATTCTCTTATCTAAATCAAATCTTCTAAAGTAATGTCCGGTTACAGTTGATGAGTGAGTTTTACTCGCTCATTTAATATCATTTTACACTTAATATCTAGTTAGTTTTTGAGATTTTTGTTAGTTTTTATGTGTGTTTTCATTCTTTGTTTGAAGGTTAGGTGAAAGTCTATGATTTGGAAGGTTTTGGACAACTTTTGGTGGAAAAAGACAACAAACATAGCGCTTAGGCGCCAATTTATAGCGTTTTGGCGCTTAGTTTTACGGAACCAAGACATTTGGACAGAATGGGCAGCGTTTTGGCACCTATGACAGCGTTTCGGAGCCCAAGATTATTCACAGGTAGCGCTAGGAACTCAGTGCCGCGGCGCTACGACGCGAGAAAAGGCGCGTTTTGAAGGCCAATCGTGAGAAAACTTACCCGTTTTAACCCTAATGCTCCTAAACATATAAATAAATGATTCTAGGGCAATTAAAGGGGACTTTTAGACCTAAGAGTGACAGCTGACTTTTGAGAAGAGATTCAAGAAGAAAAATGAGAATTGACTACGGAAAAGAACAACAGCAAAAATCCGGAGACGGAGACGCTTCAATTCAACTCCAAACTAGTTCTTTTCTTTCCTTTCCAATGATTAAGACTTTGTTTAGGAATTTATTTTGTTTAGAGATGAACTAATTTCTTTTTCTAGGGCTACGATGTAGTCGGATTATGAATGTTCAGATTCTCTATTTTCTTTTTAAGTAATTGATGTTTAATCCATATATACTGAGTATTTCAATTTATTCATAATGCTTGTGATTGTTTGGCCAACTATTACATGATTTTGTATTTGATTTGAGACCGAGAGGTGATAATTAAATAAGCTCTTAATTGAAATACCATGAGTTGTTCATAGGATAGAGATAGATATGATGCTTGTGCAGTTCTTTTGAATTTCTTGCACTTAATGATTTTCAATAGGTTTAGAAGTCTGACAGAGATGTAGAGTTTGCTTGTTGGATTAATATTATTGTTGCTTGAGAAAGAATAATAATTGCTTTAGAGAAATTACTGTCAGTATATGATTGAATGTTAATTTTCTTGAATTATGGGAATTTGAACAAGATTAATTGGTGAAATCGGAAACCCTAGAGTCTTAATCTATTGAATTTTATTCCATTGCATAGCGTTGTTTGATTTATTTAATCATTTTAGTTTTACTTTACTTAATTTTATAAACTCTATTTCGATTATTCAAATAAAATTAGGGTTAATATAATTTTGTGGGACGATATTCTTATTCACTATTATATTATTTGATTGCGATAGCGTATACTTGCGTTACGATTTTTCACAACAAGTTTTTGGCACCGTTGCCGGGGATTGTTTTGTTTTTACTAATATTGATACCAAACAACTCTAGTTTGACTTTGGATTTTATTTTGTTATTTATTTTCTTTTTCCTGTTTTGTGCTCTACTGGAATTTACTCTACGTGCATGCGAAAGTTTGGGAGCAGTATTCTACTTCCTCTTGATTCAGAAATTGAGCGTGCTTGTCGAAGAAATAGAAAAGAGAAGAGAGAAACTGTCATTTAGTCGCAAGAAACTATGGCTGATCGTGAATGGGCAATAAATGAGAACAACAACAACAACATACCATTGAACAATCCACCGGTGGTCAATCAGCCAAAGGCTTTGTGAGATTATGCATTGCCACCAACCGGTGTTCAATCAGTGATCAGGAGGCCTGCTATTCAGGCGAATAATTTTGAATTGAAGCCGGTGATGTTGCAGATGATTCAAGCGATCCAATTTAATGGATTGCTGAATGAAGATCCTAATGCTCACATTGTAAATTTTATGGAGATTTACGATACTGTTAAATACAATGGAGTTAATGATGAAGCTCTTCGCCTTCGGTTGTTTCCGTTTTCTTTTAGAGATAAAGCAAAAAGTTGGTTGAATTCACTGCCGCCAAATTCGATCACTAGTTGGGAAGACTTAGTTTAGAAGTTCCTTTCTAAGTTTTTCCCATCGGCTAAAACAACGAAGATGCGCATCGTGATAAAAAATTTTGCTCAATATGAAGGTGAAACTCTATATGAAGCATGAGAGAGATACAATGAGTTACTGAGAAGATGTCCTCATCATGGTCTACCTAAATGGTTGAGTGGCACTACAAGAACTCTAATCGATGCATCTGCAGGAGGAGCATTAATGAAGAAAAATGAAGATGAAGCATATGAGTTGCTAGAAGATATGACAACCAATAATTACTAGTGGCCTAGTGAAAGAAGCATACCAAAGAAGACAGCCAGACTACATGAGATTGATGCCATCACTAATTTGACTGCCCAAATTGCTTCTCTTTCCAAACAATTGCAGAATACTCAATTGACAGCCAATGCCATCCAAACATCCTCTCCAGTGTGTGAATTTTGCAGCGGGTCTCACCAAAGTTATGAATGTCAAGCTGACAACCCTTTTGCACAGGTACAAATGGAGCAGGCTCAATATGTGGGAAATTTTAATAGGCAACAGAACAATCCTTACTCCAACAGGTTTAATCAAGGATGGCATAATCACCCAAACTTGTCTTGGAGAAACACTCAAAATGTATTGCAGCTCGAACAGAGTAACCCACCACAAGAGGAAAAGGTGAATCTAGAAGATGCAATAGCTCAATTGGCTACCTCTCACACACAATTTATGAATGAAACCAGGAGAAATTTCCAGAATCAATCGGCTCAGATCAGAAGCTTGGAGGTGCGAATCGGTCAATTGGCTAACATGCTAAATGATCGTCAACAAGGTAATTTGCCAAGTATAACGGTAGTGAATCCAATAAAGCAATGCAAGGCCATTACTTTG